TAACTAGAAAATAAACTAAATAAAAGATAAATAATATGTAGGAAGTAAAGCACTAAATGCGGAGCCGGTCGTATTTGTCCAAGAACGCCATCGCGGTCTCATCCCCATCAAATTTCCAAAACCGTCCTCAACAATCTTGCTTCAAGTTTTACACCAAAAAATAATTAGCTTCATTATTCGTGTAATATATCGTGTTATAACTAGGGCTGGTATTTTATAACCGAAAACCGAAAATCGAATCGAACCAAGGCGATTCAAAAATGAACCAAACCGAACCGAACCATTTGTAACGATAACCAATTTTCGGTTACCGAAACATTATCGGTCCCGAACCCATAAGGGTTCGGTTTTACCGAACCAAACCGAAAACAATTAAAAAAAAAAACTTAGTATACTTATACAACCATTATATTGAACAAATTCAACTGGGAACCGACAAGAACAAGTTCAAACCGGCTTAAAACCAATAATACTAAAAAACCGTTTAAAAAGACGGTTTTAATTTTGGACTTCGGATGACTAAGTCAAATTATAAGAAAAGTGACCTTATTATTTTATAGCCACCCTCTACCTTCATTTTGGCTTTCTCAAATCAATGTGGGACTTGATAGGTAAACCTAAAGGTCCTCAACATTTTATAACATCTATTTGCCTTTATTATAACTTTTTCAACCAATGTGGGACTAAATCCCAACATTTTATAGACCATTTGTCCCTTCATTTTGGTTTTCTCAACCAATGTGGGATAAATGACAAATTGGCACATTTTAGTCCATGCTCATACATTGTGCAATAATGAAGCTCATTAATTACAATTTTGTCAAAATATAGTATATAAGTATAACTATTAGTAATGTTATTAAAAATGATCATAACAATTTATTCATCACATTTATTCAATATTGTCTTAGCCAAACCAAAAATTTTTGTCTTATCCGTCCATATATTGATAGATTAAAAAAAAATAATTGATATGTTGTGGGTTTCTATAGAATAAAAGAAAATGCATATCCCACTTTTATATATACTAGTACTAATACCCATGTACAACATGGGTGTTGAGTTAATGAATATATGTGTAAAGTTATTTATGTCTAATACCAAACCTAACTCCAGAGCAAAAATAATATAAAAACAACATCACGAAGCATAGATTTTCACTATGTCAGCATCCGAAGCGTGAGAATCTGCCACTTAGGCTCAACACGTTTTGAATTAATATATAAGGAGGGATTTTTTTAAATTTTTGTTAGTCAAATAAAAAATACATACTTAAATAAAAAATATATATTTACATATAATGAACGTATATAAGTTATTATTAGTTAGTTTAAGTATTTGAATGTTTTAAAATAACTTAATATTTAATTAACAAATTTTTTATATTCTAAATTTTATTATATAAATTATTATAGTAATAGAGGCAAATGAAGTGGTTTAATCCCACATTGGTTGAGAAAGCTATAATAATGGCAAATAGAGACAATAAAATGTTGGGGACCTTTAAGTTCACATATTAAGTCCCACATTGGTTTGAGAAACGAAAATGAAGGTAGAGTGTGGCTATGAAATGAAGAGGTCACTTTTACTTTTAATTTACCTTGGTAATCCGAATTTACATTGGTAATCTGAATTCTTAAATCATAACCGTATTTTTAACGGATTGGTTTTTTGATTTTACCTATTTTAAGTTGATTTTATCGTTTCTTGGTTCACTACCACAAACCACACTGGTTTTTGAATCGGTTCTCAGTTTAACCGGTTTAAATGGTCGGTCCGGTCCGGTTTCACAACCACGGACTATTTTTTAATTTTTTTTTCGGTTTTTTCGGTTTAAAACTGAAACCGAACCGAGTTATAGGTAACCGAAGACTCGGTTACCGTCTTACCGACTAAGAGTCGGTTCGGTTTCGGTTTTCATTTTATGAATACCGAAAATATCGGTTCGGTATTGGTTTGAGCTTATCAGTTCGGTAACCGAACCGATACCAGCCCTAGTTATAACAACAGTTAGGGTATATTCAATTAAGTTTTCTAAAGACTTTTTAATACTTTAAATATGTATTTAATTTAGACTTTTTAGAACTTTTTAAGGCCTTGTTCGGTAAATCAGCTGTTTAAAATGGCGTTTTTAGGGGAAAAAGTTGATATTATAAACGTTGGAATTGGCAGCGTTTGAAGTTGGCTTCTAGTGCAATTATTTATGTTGTACATTTAATCAGTCAAATGAGATAATTAAGTTGGGATGACACATGAGAAGGCGACCGCGCGTCGTCTCGCGGTAATTTATATTTATAAAATTTTTCTTGACTTGCCCCTACTAACTAGTAGTAGTGGAGAGCAATGGTCGATCCCACAGGGAGTGTGGTATAAACTGTGATTTTATTATATTAATTAGATAAAACTAAAATGGGGGGTTTTGATTTGAGACTAAACTACTAACAAAACAAGAAAATAAAATGGAATTAGGAAAAAATGATTAAAATGCAAAAGAAGATGAAACCAAAAATAAACAAATAATTTATAAAATATGAGAATGAAATCGGTTCTAGGTCGGTTTACACCCTCGAATAACTAGTCCAATTAATGCTTTTATCAAGTTTCACTCGTCTTCTAAAATTATCGGTCCTAGATAGCAATAAGCTATGCTACCCGAATTCTCCCTTAATTATACTTAATTGAAACAAGCTCTTCAATTAATTCTAACAAGCGAATAACTCAGAATAAGCTCTCCTAATTTAATTCGCTCGCCGCATTAAAATTTAGGAAAATAGACCAATCTAAGCCACAAACACATAAGTTCGGTTCATGTAACTCGTGTTATCCCTAACAGTGCACGACTATTAGTTGCTACGAATGAAATAAGAACAACGACAATTACGGATCGAAGCCTTAATCTAGCAATTAACATGCAATCCTCAACTTAGGTGATCAAGCTAAATTAAAGAACACATATTATAGCATGTAACTAGAATAACACAATCAATTTTATACGACAAGTAAAAACAAAATAAAATCACATTAATTGAACATAGTCATCGAGGGTTCAACGTCCCTAGAACCGAAATGAGTGTTTAGCTACACATAGCTAAATGATAAAAACAATAACAATAATTCATGTTCTTCAAATAAAATACAATAAAACAAACTAATTCTTTCCCCCACGCAAGATCATTGGGCCAAAGTTTCCATCCATCTGAAGGTCCAATTCCACTCTTTAATTGATGGTCTAAACTAATTTGATTATTTTAATCAAGCCATTATCTCCATGATTTGCAAATATGGGCCTACTGGATGTCGGATGTTATTGGATCAGTACAAAGCGGTATGAGACACACATATTCTTTTGATCGAAATTTCCGTTTAATATCTCATTGCTCATAAAAGCAGCTCAATAGTCTGAAAATAATACATAAAAATATCATAGCACTCAAATCTATTTTATAAATAAATAAGTCGAAAAACATAGAAGTGCGATAAAATTAAGCATATAAAAATACGCTAATAAATATGTAAAATACACACTTTTTTCGACCAATCAGAAGGATAATCTACATATATATAATAAGAATTATCATTTATCAAAATAGTACGTCAATCCTTCGTCAAAACTGATCAGTATTAATTACATGTCATTTATAGTATCTTTTTAATATTTTTATAAATGTTGTCCTTAAAATGAGGAGTTTGTTACTTTTTTATTTTAAAAAAAGTTGGGCTTCTATTTAAATTTTGTCTATTGAATGTTTGAGATTGTTTGACACGTTGTGAATATCAAAAGCTGATAATGCACGGGCTGCATCAATTAAATTTAGTTATTGGTTACAAAAAGTTATTTTTGAATTTGAATATAAATGTACGTCACGACTGTTAATCTATATATATATATATAATTGCTGGCATATAGCATTTAATAAAACATTTAATAAAACCTCCATTCATTTTTCCGCTCATTTTTTCAATTAATGTAAAATCGTTACATTTTACATTAATAAAGTGTAATAATAGTTTGAATATAATTTATTCACTACTAACATTAATTGATTACAACTTTACATTAAATAGTATGTGGAAGTTACATACTTATAAAAAATTGTATTGCAATTTTTTTTTTCAAAATACTTTTTCTAAGATGAAATATTTTTTGTTCTTTTTAAGCGATTTTTATCTAATATTAGTTAATTGGCACGAGTGTCATAATTAAACATCTTAAAATCACATAAACAAATGCTATAACAATGATAAAAATAATTTTAATATTTTTCTAACTAATTAATTGTATGATCCCTCTAAATTACTAAATTGTATTAGCCATTAAAATTTATGGCATCAATATAAAGATTCATACATAAGTTAAATAAATTATATTTACATTACACATTTGCATGTAGTCATAATTTAAAATGTAATACATCAATTAACTAATAAAATTTTTATATATTATATACATAAATAATATATAAACTTTTACTTTTATTTGTGCATGTGCACAGGATGAATACTAGTTCAATTAAACATCGACCAACTATATTCTCAAAATTTAAAACCAGATATCCGTTTAATACAATTGCTTTGTTTGACATCTTTTTTATAATAAAGCAACACACTTAAGCTCAAATAATAATATTAATTATATTATAAAAAAAAACATGATAACAAAACAATGTAATAAGTATTTAAAGATATAAAAAAAATAAAAAAACTTCCACCGAGCCTGCCTAGGAGCGCCGCCTAAACACCTGACCGATATTTTCAGAAGATTTATACAATTTGAGGCGACCAGGCATCAGCACCTAGACCGATTTTTAATACAATGCTAAATCGCAATATTCAAGCCTCCACATTAGCCACCACCCCAATTTTCGGCAAACCAATTTTTCCACCAATTTCCTACAAATCACCTTTATCATTTTTTGTAGTATAACATTTGATAGTATACGTATATATTTTTGACATGATACATGTGTACATGATACATGAAAGGTCGACCCGTGTACAGTTAAACCGTCTCACATAAGAATTTGTGCCTAGGTTTAAGGTGTTTGGCTACCTAGCCAAATTTTACAAGATTGAATCACACTAACAAAAATATATACTTACCCAGAAGGAATAAAAACTAAATAAATAAACAAATGAATATGAATCACAAGGATTTTTGAAGCCCAAATCGAAAAGGAAACCAAACAACCAGATGAACTACATCATGAATCTTTTTTCCTAGCCAGTTTCAACATATTCAGCACATTCTCATACACAATGAATGTAATAGAGGCAGCAGGAGCATTTTTCAACACATTTGCCGTGATACCCTTATAGAATCCTCGTACGCCCTCAAACCTGTGAGAAGAGCCAAACATAAAAAGCAAAGTTAATCAAAATATTGTAAAACAAACATTAACAGCAACAGGGCATTCAAAGTTGTGATACCGTGATGTTTGTATTTTTAACTAGACTGGGTTTCTTCGTAACTCACGGATCATGAATAGTTTTTCAACATGGATCATTTTCACGTCTCTAGAAAACATTTTCTGATTAGGTGAAAAGTTGGGCTGCTAACAAAATTTCTATTGCGATTGCATGTTTTCACCTGTATGGAGAAGATACTTACCGTGCAGTCTCCTTCAGAACGTGAAAGCTGTCAACATATCTCGGAATGCCTTGAATATTCGGGCATTGCTTTAGTCAAAATAATCATAGTTAGTATTTGTAAAAGGAAAGAAACTCAAAGATCTACAGAACCCATTAGAGTTCATTTTCAAGTTTGAACGACAGTTCTGATAAAATAGGAAGTACAGATCGTGTATTTTTTACCTGCAATCTTGCTCGAATAACCTGGCAGAGATCAACCAACACATTCAGCAAACATTAAAGAAATTCTTGTATAGTCCATTAAGAAAGATGTTAGTACATATTATTCAAATCTTTCAGAAGGTGCCTACCTGAAAAGGGTACGTCAAAAGAATGGCAACTAATTTTGAAGAAGCGCCTAGTACGGCGTAATCAAATGAATCCTGTAAACAACAATTGGAAAAATAAAATGGATTTTCAAATTAGAATTATCAGGTTGAAGTTGTAGATATGTAATCGTAATTATATCAGTTGAAGGCTCTCGATGGCCCAAAAGGAAGTGCTTTAGTGCATAGAAGCATGGTACAAAACAAACTGGAAAGTCCGTTAGGGATTTGTAGAAGCAGAATTGCCCACAAGAAACTCTGGGGTTAAGTACCGTAATGAGCATATGAAAAAAATCGACCAACCAATAACGGGTCTAAGAATCCATACAATTCTTGCATTTGATTTACAGAGGAGTTTTTTTTTTTTTTTTTTTTTTTTTTTTTTTTTTTTTTTTTTAAGAACAAAATGGTAAACTTTATAAAACTTACCAGTAATTTTTCCACTACGTTCGAATTTTGTCCATTTTCCTCGGTCCTAAAATTGACAACCATCTTCCTAAGTTCCTCGTATGCTGTAAACTGGATTGCGCCATGTGTAACCTGCTGAAACAACTGGTTTTTTAGCTAACACAGGGTGTGGTCCATAAGAGAATTGTAAGTATAAAAAACCTATGATATGATGAGAACTACACTTAGCATGAGGCAAATAAATGAGAAGCAAAGACAAAAAAAATATAGAATACACAAAAATGGGGAAATAGACTAACCAAAAAAAGACCAGGGACGAGCCCTTTGTAGAGTGACCTCCATCCCTCTTCTTTCAGTATGGTTCTTATAGCATCTGATATACAGAAGGTAGGTAAAGTAAAAAAACTTCTACTTTTACTGGCACGGAATAATAGGCAACGAGCTAACAACATTGTAAAGTGGTTACATTTAAGCAGATCATGTTGAGCTGGTATATAAGATCAGAGCTAACCATGAAAACCAGAATATGAACGAGCTTGTCGTGGAGTTTGGAGGTGCAACCTTGTTTTCACCAGCCAAATAGGATTGGTGCAAAGGCAGACCTGAAAGACCCACAAGAGATTTTCTCGTAATCAAGACAAAGGCTACACAATAATTCAAAATATTAACTTGGTTAATGCTAAATGGATTTTTCTTTAATTTATTAACAGAAACAAAAGAGAAAGAATATTAAATAGAAAATTCTAGTAAACATTTTTAAGTTTGACAATACACAATATTTCTGGTAGAACCCCGGAATTTTTTTTTTTGTTTCTTGAAAGGAAAATGCCTTGCAATTGTAGGCATTTATTGAAATATTTTTTCGACAGACTCATTGATATCAACTCAATGTAAAGTTGGAAGCGCCCCAAAGATCATACATGAGTGTTAAAGCAGTCAAACCAATACCAACGAATATTTCTAGTTCTGGAAATGGTAAGCTGACATAATTAAAGGACAAGTAATTCGAATACTAACCAGCCCTCCAGCTTCCGCAGCTGAAGCAAGATGAAGAAAAGGCCTTAGTTCCTCTCTGTTTCGTAAATATCGCTGCTTGGCTTTGTTGTAGCTATGAAAACATAAGAAGTTCAAGGTTATATATCAAATAGGTTGTTCAAGCATGCTCGACAACTTAATAGCATTATATTAGAAGAACCTAGCTAACGCATTGAATTTGAATTACAAATACTGTCGATTTGTAAAGTCTCGAAAGAGAATTAGGAAATTTGATATTCAAGGTTGGCTAAAAACACATTCAGTCATGTCCCTATTAGACAATAAGCACAATTGTAGATACCTTGAAGGTTGGAATTATAGCATGTAAACTTCAAAGAGATGGCTAAAGTACACGATAGGATAATTCAGGTTGAAGTCTCCACTTTCCACTATGAATACTCCAAGTACAAGATACACGATTTCTTCAAACCTTCAAGTTTATAATACTTCAAACTAAAACTGGACCTAACTTCTCGGTGATGCTTACAAGTAGAAATACAAACCCCATGAAATAGTTGATCCAAGAACAGCAGGGTAAAAGCCAGCATATAGCCCTCTAAGACCCTGAAGTGAAGATGAAATTTTATACATAAAAAAAATTATAACCATATGTTTATTTGAAATAAAGTGATCAATAAATAACAAAAAACAGTCAACAATAATTAGGCAATAGCCAATATGGCAATTCAACTGACCCGAGCTATAACTTGAAGATGATTACCTAGAGCAAATGCAAGCTATGACTATTACAAAATTGTTAACTCAAAGATTTCCGGTTTTTTTTTTCCATGGTTTAGGTTGGTAAAACATCAGCCAATTACAAACCATGATTATTAAAAATTGTTAACTCAAAAGAAACATGATTAGAGACGGAGAACCGTTTGTGACGCATCCTACAAATTTGTAGCAACAAACCAAAAAGATGGACAAAGACTAATCTTTTCCAGGTTAATGAGATCAAAATTCGAAAAGGTTTAGATAATATACTATATTTTGATACGTATACACACGCCAAAAACCGACACACCTCAAGCACAGAGAGCAGCTCATCAAGTTCATTTCAGGAATTACTAATAAACTCCACAGTCCACAAGCAATTATGCATAAAACAATTTGCACTTTCTTCCACCATGCTAACATAATTCATGAATCGATAGCCAAAATAAGGACAAACGATGAAGAATCAACGAAGGACGCAACTTTTTAAAACAATATTCTCAAACAAACAAACCTCCGTGCGAGCAATGGCGAATAGAGCGTGCGGAGTGTTCTTATACGTCGGCAGAGCTCACAATCTCCCATCATTAACTATTTTAAAACAAGACAAAACAAAAGAGGTCACCAAAAAACAAGATTTCACCATCACCTATGAGAAATTGCAGGCATCAAGTACCTCGGAATCGTGTTCGGATGACATCAAGTGGGTGAGTGAAGGTGACCGTTGCGAGGCCGGCGGCGGAGCCGGCCGCCGCATTCTCCCACTGCCAGGCGGCCGCCATCAATCTCCGGCGAATTTCAATGAATTCACCATCTCTTTCATGCCTCAAGGTAAGGAATCCACGCAAAAGGAAGAGATTATCGCTGTTTTCGTTCTTTCTTTCTTTCTTTCTTTTTTTTTTTTCCTTTTTTTATTTAATTTAAATTAACTATCCTTAATCCACAACCCGGCCATGGGTTTTTAACCCAGCACTTCTTCCTTCCGGCCCATTTATCTGGGCCTTAACCACACACAATTTCCGTATCCTTGGATCTCTCAGTATTATCCATACTAATAGGATTGTGGGCCTTAGATGGATCATATAATTAGTCTTACGGACATAACTAACCCTCAAATAAAACAAAGTTCCATTTATAGATACAGTATCTGGAATTCCAACATTTGTTACATAGGTAGTTACATATTAAATTAACTCTAGTTACACATTAAAGTAGAAATTCAAAATTTAAATAAATAATTATTTTTATTCTATCTCTTCGCTTTCTTTCTTCTCTTTTCGGGATTTTTCTTTCTTCTTCTCTTTTCTTCTTCTTCTACATCTTTTTCTTCAAACATGAAGGCCTAAAAAAAACACACACACAAAAAAAAAGATTAATGAATTTATTATATACATACCAAACAGTTAAATTAACTAAAAAAACAACACAAATATGTATTATAAAAACAACGAAACAGATAAGTAACAACAACGCAACAATAAAAATATGTAACAACAACAATGCAACAATAAAAAAATTTTCAAGCAACATAAAAACAACTATAAGTAAACATTAAAATATCAACTCGACTCTTCTCAATTCACATTCAACACCGTGCACATCCAACTTAATTTTTATATATTTATAGATAAAGTTGTCACCGTAAAAAAAAAAAAAA